AAAACGTCATTTATTTCTCGCAATTCTCCTCCGCTTTTGTAGTGACTCATTCGATGTTTTCCATGTGTTTCACCGCGAATAAGCAGCTATTTCGTCCAACATTTTTTTGATTTTTCGTTTTCTGACATTAAGAAAATCAGCATTTCCCGGCCCATTTGTTTTTGATTTTTTCTTTCAGCACAAAATTATTGTACGTGTTTCAGTTTCCAAGTTTATCAATTTCTTCGATGTTATAATCAAATTAGGTTCTTTTTTGCAGGAATTTGCACGCTGATTACCTACCATGCTGAATACTGAATGACACTATAACANTAATAGTAATTATCTTAATACGAGCGGATCGTTGATGAACACGAGAACAACCCGCTGTATAATATAGATAAAGAAATAAATTAGATTTGAACGACCATCTACAGGTATATACTTGTAGAAAATTACATATATACAATCTTTTTATTCATGTAGGTACCAATATGTATACAGATAAGGCAAAATTTTACAGAACTTGAAAATGACACATTTCGTTGTCGGTATTTTTAGGGTTCCGCAGCTCAAAAGGAAAAAAGGAACCCTTACAGGAAATAGGAATACTTCGTTTTTCGTATGTTTGTCTATTAAGACCTTTTTTCTTAGGAACGTGTAGAGATAACAAATTGAAACTAATATCAAATACTCTGGTTTGCAATCCCTTGAAGCTGTGAAAAAATCAGACTAATTCTGCGAGGAAATCAAAGTCTAAAGGGTACTTCCCGTTGACCTAAAATCATGAACATTGGCAAGGAGCAATGTTTTATAAAACAAGTAGAGATAACGATCCGAAAACCGTAAATTTGAATTTAATGGTGATATTGTAATTAGATGTAATGGGGACTGTTTTTGGAGAGAAATTTAAAAGCAGGAAGAACCTTCGAGACTCGATTCTCATGACGGTCGACGAGTTTGTGCGACAACAAAGTGTAATACCTCCTAAGGGCTTTAAATTAAATTTATTGGACATTCGTTGATGTCTTAAATACTTGTCAAAAATCATCGACAACCACATAAAACTAATTTTTCTATTCCTCGGGAACAGCATTTTTTCTTTGGATAAAAGGTACCCTATGTCCTTTTCTCTACCTTTGACAATGTGTCTTCAAAATTTTATGTTGATTAATTGGGTAGTTAAGGTATGAAATCGACCACATAAAACTAATTTTTTTCTATCTCTCGGGAATAGTATTTTTTCTGGGTAAAAGGTACCCTTTGTGCTTTTCTGTAACCCTAACACTCATCATCATAAGGTCGTCAGTCCTAAGACTTGTAGGACACGCACCTCCACTCTTTCCTATCTTGACCTAATCTTCGCATTTCCCTAAAACTAGAACTTCCCACATCCTTAACTATTTGCGAACAGTAATCTAATCTAGGTCTACATCTATTCCTCTTAACTCCTGCTTATGTGTCTATGTCTATATGTCTCTGACTAGACCTTCATGCCTGAGAAGGTGTCCTGCTAACCTATCTCGCCTATTGTTTATTGACATCCATAGAGTCCTCTGTTCTCCTATTCCTTCTAATACCTTTTCATTTCTAACCTTCTCTATCCACGGTATCCTCATCATTCACCTGTAACACCACATTTCGAACGCTTCTACCCTTTTCTTTTTAATGACGTTGATCGCGTCTTAGATGTATAAAGTAAAAGGTAGCAAAGACAATGAGTATACAAAATTTCATGATGATCAGTTGAGTAGTTATAAGGCGTGAAAAGCTAACTCACATTAGTATTTATGATATGAGTTAGGAGAGGATGAAAACAGATAGCTGAAGGTATTGAATTATATGAATTTTCCTATAGGTACCACGTCGTATTTTTCAAAAGATAATAATGATTACATTAGTAATAGAACATTCCTATGTTCGGTTCTCAATTCGCCAGTACTGTATGTATACATGTGTGCGGACATATGTGTGTAAATTTATATTTTAAAAGATAGATCTTTGTCCTAGTGTGGAAAATTAGTCGGTAAACAACTGTCTCACATGGACAGGCACGTCAGGGTCTCACGGTAAAAGCATCGAATTAATTGACAAGTGTTTGTTTTACATACTTTCGNTAGTAATTATCTTAATACGATTAATTTATCTATTAAGACCCTTTTTCTTAATTAAAATTAATATGAAATATTATCGTTTACAATCCCTTAGAATTGTGAAAAAATCAAAAGATACGGCCATTTCTGCAAGGAAGTCAAAGTTTAAAGGGTACTACCGTTGACCTAGAATCATGAACATTGGCAAGGAGCAATGTTTTAAAATACAAGTAGAGATAAAGATCCGAAAACCGTAAATTTGAATTTAATTGTAATATTGTAATTACATGTTTTGGCGACTGATTTTGGAGAGAAACTTAAAACATACTCGGAAAAAGCAGGAAAAACAATCTATCTACAAGTTTGTGTGACAACAAAGTGTAACACCCCTTAAGGGTTTTAAATTGAATTTATTGGACTCTCGTTGATGCCTTAAATACGTGTCAAAAATCATCGACAACCATATAAAACTAATTTTCCTATCTTCTGTTTCTATTTGACTTCCATAGAGTTTGTTCTGCCATTCTTTCTAATATCTCTTCATTTCTAACCATCTCTATCCATGGTATCCTCATCATTCGCCTGTAACACCACATTTCGAACTCTTCTTTTCCGCAGCGCCCACCGTCCATGTTTCGCAACCGTACAGCGTCGTGCTCCAAACATACACCTTTATCAACCTTTTTCAAATTTCTAAATTAACCGTTCTCGAGCATAGAAGTGACCTCTTTTTATTGACGGCAACTCGACCCTGAGTTATCCTCTGCTTTATATCCTTACTACTCCTTCCTGACTTATCTGACTTCCAAAATACCTAAAATCAGCCACTTCTTCTTGTAATCTTTCGTCTCCCATCTTTATATTTGCTCTTTCCCTACTTTTTCTTCCCTTGCATTCCACTGTTTTTGTTTTATTTTTATTTATTTCCATACAATACTGTTTCGTCAATACCTCTTCTATTTTATTTAAAGCTATCTCTAACTCCTCCTTCTTAGATGCTTATATTACTACATCATCTGCAAATTTAACAATACTAATCTTTTGTCCCTGTATATCTATCGCTATGGTTGTACTATCTTTGATGATGTTGATCGCGTCTTCGGTGTATAAAGTAAGAGGTAGTAAAGACAATGAGTACAATATTTCATGATGATCGGTTGAGTAGTTATAAAGCGTGAAAAGCCGACAAGCAAAATAACTCGCATTTCTTATTTATGATATGAATTAGGATAGGACGAAAAGAGATAGCTGAAAGTATTTATATGAATTTTCCTATAGGTACCACGTCGTATTTTTTAAAAGATAATAATGATTACATTAGTAATAGAACATTCCTATGTTCGGTTCTCAATTCGCCAGTACTGTATGTATACATGTGTGCGGACATATGTGTGTAAATTTATATGTTAAAAGATAGATCTTTGTCCTAGTGTGGAAAATTAGTCGGTAAACAACTGTCTCACATGGACAGGCACGTCAGGGTCTCACGGTAAAAGCATCGAATTAATTGACAAGTGTTTGTTTTACATACTTTCGCACGTGTTATTACAAATGAAAGTTGAATCAGGAGATTTTTACTCGAAAATATTCAGTATACGATGCATATTCTATGGAGTTGTACAGAACGTTCAATTTTGTTGAAAACTAAAAGTCTTGTGGCCTTGCTGGTACTTGAAATCTTTTCTCCTATAAACAGTGGCGGATTTAAGAAAAAAGGTACTTGTAATGTAAACAATGATTGAATAATGTATGTTTGAGTCCTCTTCTTGCTTTTTGTTTTGCAAATACTTCAATTGCAGAATTCAAATTAAGTGACTTAGTCGCCGATCATTCAATGTATAGGATACAAAAACTATTGAGGACTTTTTCAGCTATCGAAGCTCGGTGATATTCTTTATAAATTTTCAAAGAACACATTACATGTCCAGCATTAGCTGAATCTATAGGAAAAGTCAAAAACCATCTAACAAAACTGTAGTATGCGAGAGAGCGGTCTATTACTGTGTCTGCAATCCACGAGCTCTAAATAATCAATGGATTGTCGTCCGTTGTCCAGGGAAACTGATCAGTTCCTACCCCGGATTTGTAATATTATTTCACATTAAAGTGGCAATGGTAACACTGGTTTCCAAATCATCTTCTTCTAGATTCCTCAAATTTTCATGCATCCAAAACTCTAAAACGTTATTTATTTCTCGGAACTTTCCTCAGCTTTTATATAGTAGTAACTCTTTCGATGTTTTCCATGTGTTTCAACGCGAATCAGCGGCTATTTCGTCAAACATTTTCTTGATTTTTCGTTTTCTGACATTAAGAAAATCAGCATTTCTCGGCCCATTTGTTTTTGATTTTTTCTTTCAGCACAAAATTATTGTACGTGTTTCAGTTTCCAAGTTTATCAATTTCTTCGATGTTATAATCAAATTAGGTTCTTTTTTGCAGGAATTTGCACGCTGATTACCTACCATGCTGAATACTGAATGACACTATAACAAGTTTGACAACTAATGATTTTATGTTGAAATGCAAACGGATCTCTATATCTCGACACGTTTACCTTTTTAGAGAATACTTTGCTACACTTCATATTTGAACAGATTATTGTAGGTGCCAGCGGATAAATGTGTCAATAGATGATTTTTTTTGGGTAAACCTTTCTCTGCTAATCTTGCATTAAAACCGTTTGAATAAGACCCCGGGAGGGGGGGGATTTCTTGTGAAGGACTTAAACGGCAATGTTCCTTTTTTTACCAGTAGCAGCAAATTCCCACCAGATGACATTGTACTATCTGTGTTTGGATGTTACATAAACTTGCTCTTTAGGAGTTTCTTCTGCTTGGCCAGTAATTTATCAAGTCTACTTGTTGCGTGCTGATGAGATCTAATAATATTGTTTTTCTATTAGCTAATCTTCTTTTTTGTTTTCAGATATCTATCAAACCTGATGAGTCGTGTTTCTAAAAATGGATTCCTTATGTAAGTGATTAAGAATTAAAATTATTGATTATCTTATAAATTCGCATTCCATACTATTTCAAATAATGAAATAAATATCAGAAGTGTTAATTATTGATAAACAGAAATACCTGATACCTGTCGAGAATAATCTCGGAGTTCACATGAGAACAATGATCCTTATCAGCAAGGTGCTAATCACGCGATAATGAGAAATTCGATATTGCTTCTTTTCTCGTCGATCGTCGTAGGAAGCATGGCAGCCGAACAATAGAGTTAAATGTTAATTTACCCGTTATGCGAACAAATATAATCTTTTCTATATCTTCGTGCCATTCTGAGAACTAATTTATTAATTATGTGGAATGAAGTGTGGGCTGAATGTTTACATCCAAGTGTCTAAGTCCTTGATGGTGTGGCTATTCAAAAATTAAATGAGAAAAATATTGTTAATATATGATCTTGAACACATACCTTGTTTGGCGAGGTAGGTAAATACGGCAATAGATGCTTGACATGATTGTTATGTTTGTCCTATTTTTATTTATATAACTTCAGGTATAAAAGTATTTTCAGTGTTGAAATTTATCTGGAATTTATCTCATGAAAAATAAAATCAGGCGCCTGACCTGGTGGTTAAAGGTTTCTAGTCTTCTTGCTCTAGGTCAGTAGAAAATAATGTATTGATTAGTGTTGTAACAGACCTCTGCTTCCGTAATTGCGGAAGTTCCGCATACATTTTCATATCCGCTTCTGCATCTGGTTCCGCATTTTTATAACGGATGCTTATCGCAGCTTAACAAAATATTATTACCTTTATCTGTTAGCTGAACTTGACCTTCGGGACCCTACAAGGGGACTTCATATTTAATGAGAGCCTAGTTTTAGGTGGGAAGTTAGTTCTTATTTCCCTGACAGGACCCATAAAGAGGGCCTTTTTCTCAATTTTATCTAGCTGTGCTGTAGATCTAGACAGGACAGTTTAGCCCATTTTAAGCGTTGTTTGGAAATAGTCATTTAATTAGAAGTATCTTATGACATTAATTAAATTTCAATGGTCTTAATGTGTAGAAGAAGCTGTGTGTCTATATGTTATCATTGTGGTCTTAATAACGCATAATTTATAATAATAAACACTTTTGCACCCCACATCGGACCTCTTGACCTCATATGTTTATAAATTAAATTCGATTTTAACTTGACCCGTTGATGCCTTCCTAGAATTGCTAATAAATAATTTATTAATGTCATTATTTTATCAGTTAGCGGTTCAACATTCTTTATTTGCTGCTGTCAGACAATTCATTGGTCATTGCGGAGGAAAACATAATTTAATTTACAAATTAAGCGACTTAATTTATTATAAACGTAAACTTCGGGTCGCAACTTTATAGATTAATTTTAATTAAATCACGAAGTGAGAAACTTTTCAAAACAATTAATTTTAATTACGTTAGTTGCCGCTAAAAAATTAATTTAATTGTGTATATACGAAAGACACTAGATTTAATTTTATTATCTCACATCAGTAGTTTTAATACCGAGTGATATGGCCTAGAGGTTTAGATCACTGCTTAGTGTTCAACAGGACACGGGTTCGATTCCTGATCTGTGCACCTGGGGTTTCCGTGGATCACTTCGGCAAATACTCGGGTAGTAGTGTACCAGTCTCTCACAATTCCTAAAAAAAGGCAGAAGGGAGGGCCTTCCGGCATATAGAGACCAGGGGGACTGCCTGCCCACTAGAATTAGTAGCTGGTGGGAGTGAAACACCCAAACGTTATGGTTGTAGTTAGCAGTTTTAATTTGCCATTTTTGTATTTTTTGGTATAAAGGTACAATGTATTGAAACAAAAAAGTATTCGTAACGTAATTAACCTAACCTAACAACTATGGTTAAAAGCACCCAGTGTACTCGTAAATCTAGGCGAATAGGTTTGATCTCTAATAGACACATCAGGTAAATAAAATGTGTGCCTGATCCTGAAACATTTTTAAATAATTAATATTCCTTGCAGTTCTGTAGGCATTGGAATGGAACGTGTGCATTTGTATGCACGTTCGTCTTGTGTTTGTGTGTGGTGTTGTGAACGACTACGCACTCTCGGATCGACTTCGGCTTTTTTCGAATAGATACGTCGGCCAAACGACGGTCAGTTCGACGCGAAGTCAACGAGCCGAGGTAGTTTTCTTTTCAGTTGTGTAGTAGGTCTGTAGATGAGTTGACGTGTTGAGGACGTTTTGTTTACGAAAAATCTGTATATATTTCGAAATGGCGGAACAGTTTTAAAATAGTCGAGATCGTTTAGTAAATTTTGTGTTGGAACGTAATGTTAACGAGAAATAACAGTGTTCTGTGTTATATTTAAAATGTTAGTTTAAAGAATCCTGTGCTTTGTGTTACTTGGAAACTTCTTGTTAAAATAAATTGAGTTCCAGGTAGGCTTATAATATTGCTAACCAGTTTGTATTTAATTTCCACTATGTTGATGTGAAATTGCTTCTACTTATTATTGCTGGGTTATTTAAATTATTTTATAAGCCCCTGCGATTAGAATAAGATACTGTTTAGATCAATTATTACTGATCGTTAACTTCCACTATATGGATCTACTGCTCATGTAGTAGGAAGGTACACATGTAGGTGCTAATTAGAAAATGAGCCGTTAAAATAGAAATTCCGGTAGCTGTTGTTTATCTGCGTACAGTAGTAGCTTTGCATTTGTAGTTGAAGNAAGGTGCTAATCACGCGATAATGAGAAATTCGATATTGCTTCTTTTCTCGTCGATCGTCGTAGGAAGCATGGCAGCCGAACAATAGAGTTAAATGTTAATTTACCCGTTATGCGAACAAATATAATCTTTTCTATATCTTCGTGCCATTCTGAGAACTAATTTATTAATTATGTGGAATGCAGTGTGGGTTGAATGTTTACATCCAAGTGTCTAAGTCCTTGATGGTGTGGCTATTCAAAAATTAAATGAGAAAAATATTGTTAATATATGATCTTGAACACATACCTTGTTTGGCGAGGTAGGTAAATACGGCAATAGATGCTTGACATGATTGTTATGTTTGTCCTATTTTTATTTATATAACTTCAGGTATAAAAGTATTTTCAGTGTTGAAATTTATCTGGAATTTATCTCATGAAAAATAAAATCAGGCGCCTGACCTGGTGGTTAAAGGTTTCTAGTCTTCTTGCTCTAGGTCAGTAGAAAATAATGTATTGATTAGTGTTGTAACAGACCTCTGCTTCTGCTTCCGCTTCCGTAATTGCGGAAGTTCCGCATACATTTTTATATCCGCTTCTGCATCTGGTTCCGCATTTTTATAACGGATGCTTATCGCAGCTTAACAAAATATTATTACCTTTATCTGTTAGCTGAACTTGACCTTCGGGACCCTACAAGGGGACTTCATATTTAATGAGAGCCTAGTTTTAGGTGGGAAGTTAGTTCTTATTTCCCTGACAGGACCCATAAAGAGGGCCTTTTTCTCAATTTTATCTAGCTGTGCTGTAGATCTAGACAGGACAGTTTAGCCCATTTTAAGCGTTGTTTGGAAATAGTCATTTAATTAGAAGTATCTTATGACATTAATTAAATTTCAATGGTCTTAATGTGTAGAAGAAGCTGTGTGTCTATATGTTATCATTGTGGTCTTAATAACGCATAATTTATAATAATAAACACTTTTGCACCCCACATCGGACCTCTTGACCTCATATGTTTATAAATTAAATTCGATTTTAACTTGACCCGTTGATGCCTTCCTAGAATTGCTAATAAATAATTTATTAATGTCATTATTTTATCAGTTAGCGGTTCAACATTCTTTATTTGCTGCTGTCAGACAATTCATTGGTCATTGCGGAGGAAAACATAATTTAACTTACAAATTAAGCGACTTAATTTATTATAAACGTAAACTTCGGGTCGCAACTTTATAGATTAATTTTAATTAAATCACGAAGTGAGAAACTTTTCAAAACAATTAATTTTAATTACGTTAGTTGCCGCTAAAAAATTAATTTAATTGTGTATATACGAAAGACACTAGATTTAATTTTATTATCTCACATCAGTAGTTTTAATACCGAGTGATATGGCCTAGAGGTTTAGATCACTGCTTAGTGTTCAACAGGACACGGGTTCGATTCCTGATCTGTGCACCTGGACTAAGTTTTTCTGGGGTTTCCGTGGATCACTTCGGCAAATACTCGGGTAGTAGTGTACCAGTCTCTCACAATTCCTAAAAAAAGGCAGAAGGGAGGGCCTTCCGGCATATAGAGACCAGGGGGACTGCCTGCCCACTAGAATTAGTAGCTGGTGGGAGTGAAACACCCAAACGTTATGGTTGTAGTTAGCAGTTTTAATTTGCCATTTTTGTATTTTTTGGTATAAAGGTACAATGTATTGAAACAAAAAAGTATTCGTAACGTAATTAACCTAACCTAACAACTATGGTTAAAAGCACCCAGTGTACTCGTAAATCTAGGCGAATAGGTTTGATCTCTAATAGACACATCAGGTAAATAAAATGTGTGCCTGATCCTGAAACATTTTTAAATAATTAATATTCCTTGCAGTTCTGTAGGCATTGGAATGGAACGTGTGCATTTGTATGCACGTTCGTCTTGTGTTTGTGTGTGGTGTTGTGAACGACTACGCACTCTCGGATCGACTTCGGCTTTTTTCGAATAGATACGTCGGCCAAACGACGGTCAGTTCGACGCGAAGTCAACGAGCCGAGGTAGTTTTCTTTTCAGTTGTGTAGTAGGTCTGTAGATGAGTTGACGTGTTGAGGACGTTTTGTTTACGAAAAATCTGTATATATTTCGAAANCTAATCTTGCATTAAAACCGTTTGAATAAGACCCCGGGGGGGGGGGCTTTCTTGTGAAGGACTTAAACGGCAATGTTCCTTTTTTTACCAGTAGCAGCAAATTCTCACCAGATGACATTGTACTATCTGTGTTTGGATGTTACATAAACTTGCTCTTTAGGAGTTTCTTCTGC